AAAAGACAAGCAGCCAAATCCCATGGAAGTCAACAGAAAATAGAAGCTGCATCTTTCTTCTTCTACAACTTAAAGCATAACTATTTCCCATATATACTGTTCTGAAGGCAGTATCCATAAGTCTGAAAAAGCCAGACTTTTTTATGATAAAGGTGATTTAAAAAAAAAAAAAAATTCAAAAAACTATATTTGAAAAAGAAAGTGCACATCTTGCAGTTCTCACTTAGTCAAAAGTCTTTTGGAGTTGGTAGGATTTTTCATTCTTTAGGAACTTCATTTGACCTATAGATAGCATTCATAAGAAAAGCTTATAATAAAACCTGAACTATAGGGCAATGATGATCAAAAGCAAACAGCAAATGAAAAGAGATTTTCCCTTTTTGACTATGCAATGCTCTTTTGTTGCCACTACAGGAACTGTTTAATGCCATGGAAACTATCTGATAAATGTATTAGAAGCTCAATAAATTTCATAATATTGAGGTAGCAAAGCAATTGGTATTGTTGACAGAGAACTTCTGTTCTGCATGCCTATTTTAAGGCAGAAAAATTATCTAAAGATAAAAACTGTACTTTGAGCTGTCTTCCACAAAAATACACAATACTTTTAGAAAACCTGAAAGTAAACTACGCTAATTATATTACATCATTGGAAAATGTGGGAGGATAATAGGAAAACATAGGCACACCTTGAAATTATAAAAATGGGATACATTGATTTAAATTTAACAGTCTTACTTTTGGATGGTTTGTTTTACTTAACATGTATTTTTAATGAGGGCAAGGGGGATAAGGAGAATACTGTGAATTACATGCAAGTATTCTGTCCAACTTCTCAAGATGCTAAAGATGTATTCATAAGGCATATGATCTTTTTAGTCATTTGTATGTATGTTTTCATCCTCTGGACACTCCCCTAACATTACAGATACTGGCAGAAACACAAATGAACTCCCCACTTCCCCTTTTACAGGTAATACTGAAATTGCTCTGTTTTCACATGTCCAGTACTACAATACACTTTTTTCCAACTAACTTATAACACTACACCCCTACCAATCTACCTCTAGAGACTTCTAACTAAAAAGTCTATCTATACAAAAGGAAAGTAAAATAACCCTCCAATAAATAATACTCTCACCCAATGTACACACAACACTATCTTCCTCTGCAGAACAAGCATGATTTGAGGCATGCCACGAACTTGGTTAACAAACTTGGTCTGGGTTTGACTAAGGCAGAGGTGGAAGTACTCATTCCCAGAAACAGGACCTTCCCCAGGACTGCTCTGCCACAAACCAGATATCTAAGGAACCTGACAGCCTTGATGATACCAATAGCCTCTTTAAAAGTAAAGCCAAAATTAAAAGCCACAATGCGCTGAAAGATACACAAGGCAAGAGCATGCAAACATACAAAAATGCACGTGAGATGGAAACATAGGTACAAGTACACATATTGAAAATGCAGGACAGTTATATCACAAGTCCCATATGCACTTCTTGTCTCATTTCTCTACACTTGAAACAAAGGAAAAAAGGCTGGTTTTAAAGTGTTATATTGGACATTAGCCATATTAAAAAGATAACTCCAAATCAAATTTAGTCACAAGGCAACAAATAAAAATATAATTAAATTATCAGAAAAGTTTACTATAGGCAAACAGAGCAGCTTTTTGGCTCGTGGCTATTGAAAGCCTAAACTCGGACCAACAGAGCCTCAGAAGGCACATCCTATTTTCTAAATACATTAAATGTTTGTTTACAAAAAGATACGATACATACACATCTGTTAATAAATAAATAAATACAACAGTAACAAATTCTCTATACTTTTTTTCTGGAATGAGCAATACTGAAAATTCCAGTTCTTATTCCATTTCCTAAATAGCAGATTATCCTTCAGACTTGTACATAGCATCAACACATACTGTCTCTTCTATTTTTCTTTCCCAAAACATTTTTATTACCAAATAAACAACAACACTGACTTATCTATCTGTTTTTCCAATACAGGCATGTATGCTCACAGAAGGCAACAGACTGCATTAAAACACTACCAAAACAAGCCATTTCACTACATGTGACTCTGCCCCTAGGGAAAAGAATGAGAGCAGATAAGATGTGACAGATGTGTAGTCACGTCACTTAATACACTACTGGAAGGTGCTCAAATCATTATGGTGACAGGCATAGTATAAAAACTTGCAAAGAATGGACTAAGTATTTATCTAGTTTTCTGCATACATGATTCTTGTAATCAAAGAAGATACTGAATTCCATAGAAGTGCTGTTTGAAAGAAGGTAACCTGCAAATGTCAGTATATAATATAGTTATAAGAAGTAAGAAAAGGGAGCATAGCATATATGTTTTTGTCAGCAAAGCCCTTCCATCATGAATATGAAATATGTCTAAGGTTGCATTTGAGGTCTGTCCTCTAAAAATTTCCTGTACTGAAATATTTCTGAAGAGGTTTAATTAAACTTTAAATTTACCCAAAACAAGAAGTTTATTAAAATTAGCAACTGTACATCCCCAAACTGATTTCATTATTTCTGAGACTTTAAAAAGCTACTGTGCTGCAATCTCTTCTCTGTTTTGGTTTGAAAGACCCAAACAACAAAGATAAAAGTTAAAATCATATGGTTACTGGCTTGAAGTAATAGGATGAGTCACTTGTTTGAAGAGAAGTATAAACCTAAGAGTTTAAAAAATTAGGACTTTCAGGCAATTGGCTAAGAAAAGTATGAAAAATTCAGGAGAAAATTGTTTCCTGACTTTTCATGTTTAGTAAACCTGAATGTTACAAATGTTAATGTAGGTCAAGAATACTTCCCAACTGTAGCATGATTTTTAACTGCCAGTGTCCCTTCAGCAGGAAGCAATACCACTGCTGTTTCAGATAGATTGTTAGGCCCAAATCTTGCAAATTAATGTGCACAGGTAGATCCCTGTGCCTCTGGGAATCCGCATTAAGTCAAAGAGGGAAAACTAACTCACAGGATCAGATTCTTAACTTGAAGCTGGACCACTGTAACTCATTATGACACTAATCATAAATGTCTCACCAACACTCTCTGCTCCCCATCTGTTTGTTTTATCTTATTACGGTTTTATATCTCAATCCACAGGACTAGCCACAGTAGTCAAATTAAGCACCTGCATATGCCTATGTTTCTGTAAAACCAGGTCCTCAGACAAAGGTAACGTTTTTCTTTTGCTCATGCACATGCCTACATTATTCCCTGAATGGGACTACACAACAGAATGAAATAATTGTAACATCAATTTCTTCATTTACACAAATAGAAATCTCAGTGTTTTCCAGTAATCTAGCCATTTAATCCAAAGGATAAACTCCATTCACCTTCTGAAGTGTAGCAACTAGTATTTTCAAAGAAAATGACCTGCATATCAAAAATGACCTGTAAAAGTATAAAACTGAGCTCTAAAATTATTTTAAAAGAGCATCTGCTTCTTTATCATACTGTCACAAAACAATGAGAAAAATTCATAAAATAATACTCATTGCAGACTACAAAGTCAAATCCACTAGCACCAACAGGCCCTAAACTAAGAAGCACTGAAGGGGGAGAGCTTTTGGGTACAACATCGCTCCAGGCCTCCCACTCTTCTACTCTCCTCTATGATTCCAAGTCAGCCACTGTCAGGCACAATGCAGTGGGGTGAGATGGACCTTCCTTTAGACACAATATGGCCATTTGTGCATTTTGACAGGTATCCCAAAGAAATTCCCATTTTAATGACAACTCCACTAGAACTAATCCTAGAATCTCACTTTTAATTAAGACACACATTAAGGTGTGAGTTTTGTGGGGGGTATTTTTTGCAACTTCTCTCTTCTTATGAAGAAGTGAGGTTAAGATGTAAACCAAGGTGCAATTACACATTTATTACATATTTCAGTAGTCTGACTAACAAATTTTTCACACAGGTAGAGGAAAGAATATACTTGCCCACAAAGCAAAAATGGGACAGACATAATATTAAACTTATTAATCTTGCTACTTTGCAGAATTATCAGTACCAACCATGCTTATTTTCACTACTAGTAGAAAAGTAGAATATCAATTTAAAAAAAATCCACAAAACTAAATAAACTATTTGAGAATTCAGTGTAAGAGAAACACTTCTGAAAGGCAATTCCCCCTTCCTCACCTGACAGACATAATTCTGTGAGGTTCTTTTGGCCCCTAGAATTGTACTGAAATTCACCGACAACTGGGATTTAGGGTAAGCATTCAAGATATTGCAGCAATACTGGCATCCTTTCAAGAGTAGTATGCTGGATCATAATTTTCTTTCCCAAATTAGAGGTTAAATCTGCCAGCAGAAACTCAACCGGAGCTGGGATACTGGAAAGGCTCTCCAAACAGTAGCGTCTTGCCTAAGACCTGACTGGCAGCATCTGTCCTCTCGAGAGGCTGCAGCTCATGGGACCTTTTGACTTCAAGACTCAGCAGCAGCCAGGAACTACCCATGTACAAATGGTATGAGAGCAGGTCCACTCTTCCCACTAATACCTTGCTGTAGAGCATTCAAAATATTCCCATGGGCTGCACTGGGCACCACTGTCCCAGGCTGCAGACCCACACATCAAGGATAGACACTAAAAACCAGTTTCACTCTGCTTACAAGTCAATTCACCCCTATCAAAATTACTGTTCATTTACATCAACTGTTGAGGATTCACAAACTAAATAAAATGCATACACACAGCCTGAGTGCCTTGAAAAGTCAAGTCATGGTACGGGTTAACGTTAGAATTAAAAACTTTAAAAAGTATTGCAAACAATTACCACACCCTCAAGTCACAGATAAAATATTTTGTAGAGCTTAAATACATACATTTCTGGCATGAAACATTTCTCATTGCTGGCAAAATTTCCCTGCAATTTCTGGCAACAGAACACTTTGAGTTTATAAGTTGGCTGTAGAGTAAAACTGTTTTATTTATTAAAAGTCATTCTTGATCTTACCTTTTAGCAGAGGCAGGGGAGTTAACTCGATAGGCTTGCCCTGAGACCTAAACTGGGAGGAGCTTTGTGACCTCTTCTGTCTGGCTTTTCTGACGGACTTCCGAGAAAATCCGTCTACTTTATCCACTGATGGAGGAGTAGTTGGTGCTGAGGACATATCCCTACTGAAGGAAAACAAGTGTTACAAACATATTCCAAATGGATGAAATCGGTAAGGAGTAACCTAAATTTTCCAAAAATCTTCTTTCTGCACCACTCTCCTGCTGACAGCTCACCCAGATAGACTGCTAAGAGAGCTAACCTACCAACATATGTACAAATTGTATGGAATAAACTTAATGGAAGAGTGAAATAATTCCTCTCACTTTTTTATCTGTGTCTCCCATTTGCCAAAAATCCCACAACAGGAAAAAATTCAGACCTAATGCTGACATTATTATGTCAGCAGAACTTCATACACCTGTAGACTTGATACAGGATTATAGCCTTCAACTATATCTTCTTTGGGACAAAGTAATTTCAACTCATTCTGCAAGCAACCCATGCATGCTAAAGAATGGGCACACAAAAAGGTAGAAATGTTTTTTTGGCACTAAAGTCATCCATATGCACAAGACAAAAAAAATAGGACAGAAGAAAAAATCAGTTTATTTGCCACACCTACATACAAGACTTTATAGACATTTTTAAAAGTATAGCAAAAAGTACTGCTATGCTTCACAATTTCACTGACAAATTTTACATATTACTTCTTTATTTGCTATTTTAAAAATACTCAGTTATTTTCTTGTGAGTCTCTTTACACACAGTCATTCCGTGTTCTGGCATTTCTGTAAGAATAGCAGTGTGGTAGCCATACCTATTCTAAGGGCATAAGCCAGACAAGGTTTGCAGGGAGAGGCAGAGCGCCAAAATAGGTTTCTGCAAGCAAAAGTTTGTTTCCCAACTCTATCAGCTGGTCTAAGAAATAAGCATTGCTTCTTCCTATAAAACTTGCACTGGTAGTTCTCCTGTAGCTGATTCCATACTACCAAGAAATACCAAAAGGAAACATTTAAACAGTGAATTAATCCATCCAGCTAGTGCATTTACCAGTCTTGTCCTGTCTGTTAAAAAGGCCCATCATATCTTGGCGAAATACATGAGTAATACTTAAGGGAAACAAGATAGGAGGAATTTAGGCCTACACATTTCAAGCAGCTCTGTGTACAGTTAACTTCACCAGCATGTGCACCTCTACTGAAATCAGGAGAGCTATCTGCATTAATAACACGATCATTAACAACAGCAGCTCTGTTGATTTCAGTACAGCTACACACTCATGCAAAGTTAAGCATCGGCATAAGCATTTGCAGGATCAGGGTCTTAGAACATGTCCTTGGAAAGCATTACTCATCCTCACTGTCTGTTGACTTCAATTACCGAAGTGACTCGTATGCTAAAAGAAGTTGATGCCACAATATAGAGAACACTTTCGAGTACTTATTTTATTAAAATATTTGGTTACTCATATGCTTCATAAATTATTAAATCCATTGAAACAGACCTTATTTGGGTTTGTCTTCTGTAAAAAAGTCTTTAGAAAGTATGATTTATTGCAACAGTGTAAACAAGTTCCAAAAGGTAAGAACTAGCTAACACAAAATTACATATACATGCACTAAATCTATCAAAAATGGAAGTATAAACTCCGTAGGTTCTTTGAGGAAGCATGTGCAACACCCAGAAGCTGAACTGTGCAGCTGGCATTACAATAATGAAAAAACCTTATTCCATCTTCTTGATTTCTCCTGAGGTATTCTTTCACTACCACCTTATGCTTTCCAAATATAATATACTGTCAGCAACACGAACCTGTACTTTAAACTGGTCTTGTTTATTATCTGGGGGGAAAAAAATGCCACCATCACCAGGGCATTCAGGCCCCAGCCAAGATTAGTAAATAAAAAAGTCAGATAAACTGAAATAGAATGGCCTGTACTTCAGCAACCTACTTCTAAGATTTCAACAGTCCGCCAAAAAACATAAAAAGTTACCTGTTACATAAATCAAATTCTGGAAATATCAGCAAAAATATATTCTTAAAACCTGAATTGGTTGGCCCTGTTTCATCTCATCAAAAAGATTCACCTCCCCATCACGTGCATCATTAAAGTGTAACCATTTCTGCAGAAGTGTCTGCATGCTCTCTCAAAATTAAATTAAAAAAAAAAATAAATAACAATAATGGACAGGGACTAAAGTAGATCACTTAAACTGCAGGATCATTGTGTCAGCAAGAAGCTTTACTGACACTTCTCTGCTGTAAATTTAGTAACAGTTTCCCTAACCTGCTTTATAAATTATTAAAATCTAATTCTAATTCAACAAGACTACATCCAGCCTAACAACCTTACAGTAAACACTGATCTTTTTTTTATCTCTCCAAATGAACATTCGCTCCCCTGAATACACTATCGCAGTGAAACACACTGTTTCAACCAACCGGGGGGGGGGGGGGGGGGGGGGGGGTGGGGAGAAGCCCGAGATTATTTATTGTGTGCGAGTGGGAAAGCTGCAAACCCAGCCACTGCTTCTTGTTCATTTCAGCAGGGGATCTTATTCTATTCCCGAAGTATTTGGGTAAATACGAAGCCACGCACATCAGATCTGCTGGCTCCCCGGGGGGGAGGGGGGGGGGGGGTGGTGTAATGCACGGAGAGGCGAGCGGCCGTGAAAATACCGACGGATCTCGGCGGGGAAACGAGCCAGAGGCTCGCCCCGCGCCCGGGGAAGCGGAGGTGGAACGGGCTGCCTCCCGCCTTGCTGCTCTCGGCTGTCATTTCCCGAAGGGAGCCGCGGAGCACCGCGGCTGGAACATGTCCTCCCCGCAGCCCCCCGCGCCTCCTCACCGCCGCCTGGCACCCCCCCCCCCCCCAGCCCCCCCCACCCCCCCGCCGCCTCGGCCCGCCCGCGCCTCCTCCCCGCACCGCCGCCGCCTCGCCGCTCCCCCGCGGGCCGGCCGCGGAGGGATGGAGTTACCTTGACCCTCCTGGTAGAGAAGCCGGAGACGGGAGGGAAGGCGGCGGCGGCGTGAGCCGGGCTTGGCGGAGCGCGGCCGATGCCTGGCGGCGGCGGCGGCCCGAGTGCGATACGCGCCGGTCTCGGTCCCTGCCGCGGCGGCGGCGGCGCAGGAGCCTGTAGGCCTCGGCGGCGTTGGCGGCCTCCCCAGCGCAGGGCGGCGTTGGCGGCGGGTTCAGGAGCGGGCGGCTGCTCGAGCTCCGCTCAGTCCCATGCACTCGGCGCGGCCCGCTGGCTGCGATGGCTGCTGCCTCACATTCCCGGCGGAGCGGCCCTGAGGAGGCTCCGTGCGTGTGTGTGTGTGTGTTTGGTGGGGGGGGGGGGTGGGGGGGTGGGGGGGGTGCGAGGGGAGCCGAGTGCGGGCCGAGCCGAGGGGGAGCGGCGGGCGCGGTGCGGGCGGCCGTGGAAGGGAGAGGGGTGGGGGGGGGTGGGGGGTTAAGGCCGGGCAGGCGGCGCGGCGGTGCTGCGAGGGGAAGGGAAGGGCCTCTTCCGCCGGCGGCCGGCTCAGGTGAGAGGGGGGGTCCCGGTGGGCGTCGGGGTCGCGCTCCGGCTGGCTCCTATTGTCACTCTCAGCGGGCTCCGGCCATGGCACTCACTCACACACACTCACTCACTCACACACAACCGAGCGTGCTGCCACCGCCCCCCCCCCCCACCCCCCCCCCTTCCCCGGGCCCGCGGCCCGCCCCCCGCGCCCGCCCACTGGAGCTGCCGCCGGGACGCGCCGCCTCATTGGCGCCCGCCGCCGCCGCCGGGACAGCCGGGAAAGGGGAGCGCTGCCGGAGGAGGAGGAGGAGGAGGAGGAGGAGGAAGAGGAAGAGGATGAAGGCGGCGCCGGTCGGAGCGCTGCGGTGCGGTGCGGTGCGCAGCGGCGGCGAGCGGCTCGTCGTCATCGCCATCATCGCCCTTCTCGTCCCTCTGCGGGCCGGGGCTGAGGCAGACTGAGCGCCAGAGAGAGGGCCCGTCGGCTGAGGTAAAAAACCCGGCAGTCCTGAGGTAAAACCGTGCTGATGCTGAGGTAAAAATCGCGGCAGTACTGAGGTAAGATCCTGCTGATGCTGAGGTAAAAAACCCAGCAGTGCTGAGGTAAGACCCTGCTGATGCTGAGGTAAAAAACTCGGCAGTGCTGAGGTAAAACCCTACTGATGCTGAGGTAAAGTCCGTGTCCCGCCGCACTGGGCCTTCTTAGGGGGCCCGGAGCCCCCTTCCCGGGGAGGGCTGCGGGCGGGAGGAGCTCCCTCCGGCTCGCCGAGGGGCCCCGCGGTTGGCCCGCACTTTCCTTCGTTCGCTCGGAATGAGAGCTGGGAAGCAGTGGCTTACTTCTCGACTACAGGGTTTCTGCAGCCCTGCAACCGTTGTCCTTGGGTTTGTTTAGCCAGTGGCCAGGGTAGGATTGTAGTCTGAATCGTTTTACACCTTTTTTTTTAACAAGTGTATTTATATCTATAGCATCCAGCACAATAAGTGCTTGTAGATAGTATTGTTAAATATCATAAATCTTGGTTCAGTTTCTTTATCAGAAGGCTTGCTGTCTGGTGGGGTTTTGTTGTTTTTTTTTTTTTTTCCCCTAAAATACAACTAATCATGTTAATGTGATTATTATGTTTGAAAATGCTATACACCGTTTCCCCTGTATTTCTGGAAGAAAAAAAAAATGACTCACATGAGCAGCAGGTCTCCTGTGTTGATATGACAAAAACCTTCCAAGGTACACTCATATTTTTTTTTAGGAAATGAGCTCAAGGGCAGTTTGAGAGATCATTACTTTGATGGGTCAGTCACGTCCCCCCTGTTTGTGCAGGTAGTGAGTGTCTGAACCCTCTGAAAATTACTGGTCCTACAAAAGATACCTAGTTTTTGTCCCACTCAGCTTCTTGACCGCTTACCCTCCAGGTATGTGAGTAGCAATATTGGCATAACTGAGGAGGTGGGACTGTGGCAGACTCAATTTACAGTAATTTAAACTGTTGTGAATCTACTTCCAGAATTGCTAGTTTTCGGCCAGGTAAGCTCCCTGGTCCAGCTCACATTAAGGAATGTGGAACACTAGTTGAAATAAAAGCTCACTGCTTCTAAAGTATGACTAATGGATGTGAACAGTTTGGTCTTTCGTCTCTCAGTATGCCTCTTTTATATCTTTAGAAATAGGTGTCCACTAAATTTTTTTACCTATAGATTAAACAATTACACTTCATTTCAATCCTTCCTTGTGTGTCACAATTTTAAATCTCTCAGGATGCTTATTTCTTCTCCCTGTGTTGTCGCAAAATCATTCACAATCTGTTTAACTGCAGCACCCAAGACTGGACACAGTACTACAGTTAAGGCCTCAACAACACCAGCATCTGCTGTCATGCCTGTCACAGACTGCATTCCTGTTTACATGTGCCAATACCAATACGGTTGAGTCAGTATGATCTATTCACAATTTTGCTGACCTGTTTTATAAACAAAACAGGTAAACAGAAATTATGTACATTTCTGCTGACCTACCAAGCCAGTTATTTCTCCCTTGCATAGACAGTAGTGCTACTTGAGAAATTATTTAATTAACAGCCCTAATGGTATCCCTTCATTTTTACTACTGGATAGATGGACAATCAAGCAGTCAAGACATCTTTTAAAATAAAATTCCACATGATTTTAAGTCAGAAAACTGTAGAATTTGTCATCCTTTGCATATCAATTGCATTTCTCAGAAGAATTGTATTTAAAAAACAAAACTTTACTAAGATTGAACTGTGCCACAGTTACAGAATGGTTGTGTAACTCTGAATTTGGAAGAGAGTTATGTACATATTTGTAAATATTTAAAACGTTAAATTCACTTAAACCAGACCAGCTAAAATAATCTAAATGCAAGCAAGGGTTGATAACAAAAAATGTAGGTCAGTGGGTTTTTATACCAATATAAGGTAGAATTTGGCAAAAACAGTGTAAAGTCCTGTTGCCCCATCAATGAGGGATAGAACCTGCAGATGTACATGTGTTGCTTTGTTATATGTACTTAATTCTGTTAGTTGTGTTTGTCAGTGACGTACTTTAATTCTGAGATTTATTCACTGTTCTGTGTGCTGCCTTTGATGTGGATTGAACAGTGCAATGAGCAGCTCATAAAGTTATTGATAGCATACGCTGAAAAAGTGAAGTTCTAGTACAGTGATGCCTAGACTGGCCTTTAAGATGATGTTGAGTATGTCATTTTACATGGTTTTACTTTGGTCTTCCCAGTATGAAATGAAATCCATCTTTCTAAAACACTGAGAATCTAAAACTGAAGCATGTGATGTGGGTGTTTATTAAAGTAATTGCCACAGAAAGGATAAAAACCAAGACTGCTGTCCAAGTCTACTATCCTGTGCACAGAGAGTTTTTTATTTTTAATTCTGTGTTTGTATAATAGCTAGTGATAGAATTAGTTCCTCAGTATAGCTGAACAATCTGGTAGATAATACATTCAGCTAGTTTATTTCTTACATGAAAAATGCATCATGTGGTATGTTTTGTCCATTTTGAGTGTGTAAAGCATTTTTGTGATATGTTTTATATCAGGTGATGTTTTTATGGTAACAATTCAAGAAAAATAGAGGTACTATCAGTGAATAAACAGAAATCTTACCTTTTCTTTATCACTTGGCTGTCAGAGTTTACAGGGTTGGCTTCCCTTTTATTTCCAGGTTGCTTTCTTTTTTCTACTTTGATCTGTAAAGTATCCATCTGTGAGGAGATTTAAGACCACAACATAAGATATGAATGTTAAACTGCTAATATTTCAAAGGGTCACTGTTACTTGTCCATCTTCTATTCTCTGTTTAGTCTGTGCTTTGTAAAAATTGCTACTTTAAAAATGATTATGTGAATTCCAGAGATGGAGAAGAAATAAGTACTATAGGTGTTTTACATAAATGTGTATCTGTATATGTTTTTATATATGTTTGTATAAATAAATATAAATGTGCAAGAATAAACATTAACTGTCATCAGATAAGGTTCACGTGACCAATATCTCACATACGAGTGGGTTGGCATATATATAAAAATATGCACACGTTCAATACCTGCAGCCCTTCCTGAAGATCTACAAGCAATAAGGCACACGACAAGCCTATCCTTTTTAAAAGTTATACTGCCTTACTGTCCTACAAAAGGGATTTTTTTTTTTAAATAGCTTAGAAAGGAATTTGCAGGGCCAGCTCCTCACCAGTTAGACATTGTCCTTTTTAGCACCTGAATAGTCAGAACAGCAGTCAAGAGTCTTCCAAAACAGAGATTTTTGTACCAGTGACTCAGATTTGTGCAGCTTCATCTTTTTTTGTGTGACTGAAGTTCCACTATAGACCATCTGTTATGGCCACCCAGGCAGGAATACAGAGCTCTCATCCACATTGGCATTCTGCTCTTTACGTAGCAGCTTATCAAACAGGATTGCTACATAGATACCACTGTGGAAGTCCTGCTTCATTGAGTGATAAACATAAATGGATCTAGCTGGAGCTTGTAAATGTTTTGTGTAGCACATCTGACACATACTTGTCTACAGTAAGGGTCACATAATGCTCCATAGAGGATCTCCTCTATGTCAAAAGGACCATTATTGGGGGTACCATGGGATTAGTTCAGCTCTTCCCTGTTCCAGTACTAGTAAGCAAGAAAAGACTTGATCTCCCCAGAGAACTAATTATTCAGACCAGCAGGAAAAAGACCAGAAAGAGAAAGCGTTATGGAGGAAGCAGCAGTGCTGTTTGAAGAGTCAAATCAGCATGCAAACAAGGCCTTTCTGATCCATCTTTTAACAAAAATGAACATAGTGGAATAGTGCATCAAAGTAACTGTCCTGCCTCATCAGTTTGATTGAAACAGAACAATCTGAGATTTTTTGTTTACTTTTGAAGCAAATTCATGTGGAATGAGAAAACATTCTATTTAGCCTGTTTACCCCTCGGTTGACTTCTGATTCATATGTTTCACATTTTGGGGAAGATTGGTATGTCCAACTTTTGGGCAACAATTGTAATCGCCATACCAAGTTTCTCTAATAATAAGCAAGTGCTTGTTACTTTTTGCCTACTGCTCCTCCTTGTATCAGCTATGTGATAACACTGTCAGTGCCCTCAGGAACTGAATTCCTGATGCATGTGTGGGGTAAGGATTTTAGGGTTATAGACACAACTACTAGAATGGGAACTAATTCTTCCTCTCTGTTTATAGACACTGTGTCATTTGAAGTCTGTTTCTGTAGTCAACATGGCAAGATAAGTAGGAGCTTGCTTGCCTCGGCAGCTGGCTAGCTGCCTCCTCCTAGCACAACACTGCTTTCACTTATTCCCCAGTTCACATTTTTGTTCTTATTTTGTTCCTCTTCCCCAGCATGTTACCTTGCCTTTGGGCCCCAGGTGTTCCTTTAAGCCTATTTTATGAATTGTTAACTTTCCTTTGCTGCCCATTTACCTCTGCCTTCTTCAGGCTTTGCGGTGTGTTCCTCAGCCAAAGGCCTCTCTCAGCTGTCACTCCCCAACAGCACTCACCCCTTCGGCCCCGGGGCAGCACCCACAGGGCTGCTTCTGGCACCTGAAACGCCTGTGTTACGTGGTCCCCATACGTGGGGTATGGCTGAATCCCAAGTGAAACAAGGTCTGCTTCTGTTTTATGACTTTGTGATAAAGTCTCATTTCCATCATCTCTGCATTTAATGTGTTATAAGCCAACGTACACGCTGTTACGATCACCCAGTATAAAGCATCCTCTTCAGATGAGCACCCTCTGCTGTGGCCCAGCATCATCACACCCCAAACCAAACAAATAAAATGAGTAAAAGTGTGTGGTTAAGGTGTCCAGGAGTGCTTCAAGTGAGCTGCTGCTCTCCTCGCTCTTCCCACATCCCTAGTGAAATACCCACCAGCTCCCTCCCAAACTCGGTGCATCTCTTGGGGTTATAGCAGCAGTTGATAAAACATTTGAGATTTTCCCCGAGTA